AATAATGAGTTAACTTATGAGAACACTAATTTTTATACGATCTGTATTTCACATCTAAAGTGCGGAGCACAGCACTTCTCGTATTCGATCCGTTTCATAACATCCATCATCCACGAAAGTCTTCCAACTTTTTACGTGTGGCTAGGACTGCCGCTAGAGAACCCTCTTTTCATTCGTAATGTCGTCGAATGTTGGTTGCGTCGATTTTCCCTAGAGTCGTGAGATAGTCGCTTTAGAGCGTTTCCCACATTTGACTATATAAAGTAAATTTTGCCGGCAAGCCCGGTAGCAATTTCCCGACCTCAGAGGTATGAAAGGTTTGGTGAGCTTAGAGCGGCGTCGAATCAGCACCGTGCTCGTGATGTCGGCATTACTACCACTGCACTGTACCCATCTTGATGACTGCAATGAGTAGATAAAGTGAATAAAAGGTACAACGACTATCTCTACCTATAACGGATTACGAAAAGGGGAGAGTAGTACAGTGGTGGTGATGGTGCTGGTTCGAACACGTTCCGGGGTTACGAAGCCTCCCATATCTTTAGGGTCGGGAAAATGGTGGCGGACTTGTCTGGAAAAATTCCACTCTCTGCAATACAAGTGTGAACGCTCTAGCCAGGCTATCTCGGGAGACAAACGAAAATCGTCTCGACCAGCACTCTACGACATTCAGTATGAAGTGAAAATCCTCAAGCAGCAGCCGAATTCACACGTAAAAGTTGGAAGACCTTCGTGGACAATGGATGCGAGGAAACTAATCGAATGTGATTGGGATCCGCACAGTGGATCTGAAAGATGGGTCATACGAAAAGAAAATAATGGATTGCGGACAAACAAGCGGTTATAACGACAAGAAAAACTACGCAGTAAATGAAAATATCGCTCCAAAAAATAGTTTTCATAAACATCTATTCCCTTATTTACCATGGGCATCAGAAACGAATATCAAAGCTGCAACTTGCCCTTAAGGGTTCCGCGAATAACTTCCACAAGTATATCAAACTCCTTCGTCTTTGAGTTATCACGGCACGGCTCCTTGAAAAAACTATTTACTTCAGTTACACTTATGCATTTTAAGACATTTTCAAAGTAGTGGTATTACTCGGAATCTATCTTTATACACCCATAGCTCCCTTATTTCCACTCAAAATAAGCACCATGGCTATGCCCAAAATGTCGAGTTTACAAATACAATATTCTTAGACTCCTGAAGTTCTTGAACCAACTAAGCCTTGAAGATTACTCTTCAAATATATCTTAAATGATGCCAAGATATTTGCAAAACTCCGGACCACAGGTGTCTCCGGTAGTGAACAAACGCGTTATTACACTTTTCGAAGGCTAACGCGTTCATCATCACACCACGTTGGTCCTTCGTTTCTCCTGTTTCTCAGATAGTCCTCTCTACCATTTCAATATTTTGCTAAAGCAAAAAACTTTACAACGATGTATGCCTAGATTTGTACTAGTCACAAGCTGACAAAGAAAAGGCTGTCAACAACGAGGATTTCGAAAAGGATTTTGCTGCATGGACAACATCCAAACCGCTTCCAGNCACCACGTTGGTCCTTCGTTTCTCCTGTTTCTCAGATAGTCCTCTCTACCATTTCAATATTTTGCTAAAGCAAAAAACTTTACAACGATGTATGCCTAGATTTGTACTAGTCACAAGCTGACAAAGAAAAGGCTGTCAACAACGAGGATTTCGAAAAGGATTTTGCTGCATGGACAACATCCAAACCGCTTCCAGGGTGATTGAAGTTTGTCGGGAATATCAGTTGCCTCTTGTCCTAACCCTTGTCAACTATGAGAAAGTGTTTTGTAGCGTCGAAACGAATGCAATCCTATCAGCACTCGTCGACCAAGGAGTGGACTCGTCCTACATAAGAACTCTGTCCGAGTATTATCGGAACTGCACTACGAAAATACAGCTTTTCCATCGACCTTTTACCACACATCGGAAAAGAAGTCCGACATGGCGACATAATATAGCCAAAACTGTTCAGTGCCGCACTGCAGTGGATAGTGAAGTCACTCGATTGGGATGAGAAAGGCATAAGTATTGATGGAATGCCTCTATCAAACTTACGTTTTGCCAACGACATCGACATATTCTCAAGAAGTATCAGTGAATCAGAGACGATGATCAACGAGCTCAACGGAGGAACAAAGAACGGACTACGCATAAATCGAAAGAAGACCCAGTTCATAAAAAACCCATGGTGCGAGGGGGAGAAAATTGAACTGGATGGCTCTATGATTGCAGAGGACACCTCCTACGTATCCTAGGGCGATAAATGAACATGGAAAACAACAGAGGGAGGAACTATATAGAGGAAGGAGAGCAGTTTGGACCGCATTCGGGCCTAAAGAAGCTCCCGACCAACTGAAAACCCGAAAATCCGCTCTCACCTTTTCGGTTCAACTGCCCTCCTAGCACTCTGTTATGCATCGAGACGTGGGCTGATACTAACCACGTCAAGAATGCTCCGCGGTACTCACAGAGTGCTTGAATGATGTCTTCTGAAATATAACCGGCACTCCCAATATCTACACGGAATGTGAAGCTCTGGACTTCGAAATCTGTCACATCTTCGAGATCCAGAAAAATATACATGGATAGCGAAACATAGATAGGCCGGTCATATAATGAGAAGAACAGACAATAGATAGACGAAGAGAACAGTAGAGTGGACTCCGTGAGCATGCAAACGTTCCCTAGGACTGCCACCTACACTTTGGGCGGACGTGTTCGTAAACAAAGTTAATCAGCTGTACCCGCAGCTGCAGTTATTTTACAGATCACGATATTGGACTCGCACGTGCTACCATGCTCGAACAAAACCCCCGCCAGGGACGACGACTGCGAGGGAAAGAAACGAATGTGCTGGAGTCCGCACAACTCGTGAGGGCGGACCATTCATGTATCCAAGTACCCAAGTAAGTATCTACAAGTTCACAGTCAACTCTTCACAACATCGCTTTGTAAAAACACCCACTATTACCAACAAGTCATTCTTGAATCATATTTCCTTTGAGGTGTTTTAAGCAATTCTTTTCTTGAAAATCCTTCCATTAAACAAAATTAAGAATGTCATGGAATATGAATTCCAACTAAAAATTGCGAAGTATCAAAAATACGACTATACCTGGTCAGAATGTCTATTTACAAAACGTCCCAACTCTTCAGCTGCTATTGCGAACATCACAGGATTACGATCTCGAGTCACCTGTCACATGGTAAGTTCAGAAATGAAAACGACGCGAAAAGAATATACATATTCTAAATACTTATTTAAACGTTGGTCTTGCTAATCAAAAAATGATTTGAATAGACGCTAGGTAAGTCTTCATTTACACTTGTCCGATGGGACAGCAACCTCACCTGCCAAGTTAGTCTGATTGAGATGAAGAGCACTTTATCGGTTCCACCGTGCATACTGGTTTGGCAAGACACTAACCGATAAAGGTGAGCTCTGCGCTAGAGCTGGGTGCACCAACCTCTCACAGAATAAGTATAGAACTCAATCGTTGCGGGCAACCAAGATCCGCCTTCCAGCGTATCGTATTCATTCAATTATAAGTTTACGATAAAAGGTACTACTAAACAGGATTATGACCATGGAAGGCACAAACGATCGTAGAGGAATAAAAAGGCAATAGATTTCTCCTCTAAAGAAACATTTGTCTAATTAAAAGTACAACACGGATTACGTTAGCTCGCTTCCTACCAACTACGCACTCGTCACACAGCTTCTCGATTAACTGCTTAGAGATTATTTGCATTAATGAAATAAAAAGGTAGGTATTCAAAGCGTCAAGAATTTGACGTTGATCAATCTATTAAGAATGCGTCATGCATTCACTCTGTTAACCATCGTAAAGGTGATTGGATGCATATGTGTCCTAATGAGTTAGTTTAGTAGATCCACCGATTTGTAAAGTGAGTGTTTGCATCCTCTCAGACACGTGAAGTGCCAATATTCCGACAATACAGGGATGGTTATTATAGGTGTGCATGGTCGAACAAAGAAAGACACATGTATTACAAACGTCTCCAACACTGCAATAGAGTAAAATTACCAATTTCCCACCTTCTCGTCTCTAATTGAAGCAGCATAGGCGCCTAGAAGCGATGTGTACTGCACATAATGCTGTTCCTCTAACAAGGAAGCCTGTTCATTCGAAAGAAGGCGAATATGTTGCATAATATCTGTCTGCAAAAAAGGATATTCCCAATACATTCCGCAATATATAGGCTTTTCTCGACTCTCGCCTTCAAGTATTTTAAAAAACATTTTAAAAACGCCTTATTAATAATGTAGCAATGAATTTAGTATAAACGTGGAATCTCACCGCATCCTCCATTTTTATTGTCATTTGTCTAGCTGTGTTCCTTTTCGGGCTCCATAAAGCGAAGCGACACTCCATACTGTAACAGCAACTGTGCATTAATACACTACATACAAGAAATCCACAAGCCAAAACCAACGAGGCAACATAGGAATTTTTGCACCACATCTAAATACTGCCTTTTTCTCAATCTACATTCTCAATATTTTATAAATAATCTTGCTTTTTGACGGAAGATAAATGCGAATATTGAAACCACACACCGACTTATTTAAACAACAATAACCATGATAACAATCGTTTCTACCATCAACGTATGGCCCGTCAAATTAAATCCTGCCCAGCCGCTTAATAACAACAATGACGCTAAGATATCTCCAAAACTCCAGATCGCAGGTGTCTGCGGTGGGAATAGAACAGACTATTACCCTTTCTGGGGACTAACGCATTCACCACCACACAGTGCGTGTTTCGCTTTTCTCTTAGCCGTGTTTTATGGGTGCTAACAACGGTGGGTGCGCGTATGGCGCAGTGATCGGAGGCGCCCTGCGACACACGTTGAATCGATCGCCATGCCAATGGCCCACCAAGTCTTCCACCTTTCCGGGGTCGGCAAATTAATACAAGACTTGTCTAGGAGGATAGCAGCACTGACTCGATACATCGGTAGACCACAGTGACTCATTGTATAGGCCAGATATGCATTCAATCACCTCAAAACGATGCTTAATGAAGTCGAATGCATGGCGCATCCCTCAGGCATTGATTAACGCCGAAAGCTTTAACCTTTATCTTTTTATCAGCGGTCACTCGTCCATTGCACTGATCTGGAGAACACAAATCGGCATTGAACCCCATTAAGCTGAAGCTGTAGGCAATGTGGTCACTTTTTAGTTACTGCCTATTCATTTTTTTAATGAAAAAAGATTATGCAGTATGTAAAAAGTGATTACTTATCAAGCAGTTTCAATCACTTCTCTATTGCTAAAGATCACTTTGCGGTTATAATAAGCACAGATTAGAGATTAGGTTTTAATGTTAAAAGTGTGTCAATACGACGAAAATAACATACCTGTCAGTTATAGCCGCATTCAGATAAGCACCAATAAGTAATGTTCTAGCGAAACCAACATTGCCCAAAGAATATT